AAACCCGGGAAGGGCGGCGGAGGTTTGGGACTTACTAACTGCAGAAGTTCATGCAAGTCTATCTCCGGTCCTCCGCAAGCAAGAAAGAAAGCGTCCAGAGAGACCGGGATCGACAAAGTTCCGCCCAAACTCCTGCAAAAAAGGATAAAACACCGAGACAAAGAAAAGCTAAGCAAGAACAAACGCAGCCGTAATGCATAAAGTACTCAAACAAAAAGATAGACAACTCACAAATGAGAAGCGGGTTGTTGGTGAAAACTTCGATGACAAGCAGGGGAATGACGCTCACCCCTTCAAAGCATCTTCTAAAGACGCTTGAGTACCTCCTCACCGGTCGGCTCAAGAGCTGGGACCATGCGTGAAGGATCCTCGGCCCCAATACTCAAAGCCGAGATGCTCCCGCTCCTTCAAAGGTTTGAACCCGCTGACGAAGAAAACTCGAGGCGATACCAAAACCGGTCGAGACCTCTGCTTTGCTTGACATGTTAATCCTATCAAGGAGTGGTTGGATCACTTGAATCTCCATGCGATTCAAGTTTCTTATCCATCGGTCATTCACCACGTGACCGGACCCGGGATGAATGGCAAGGAAGGGATTAAATTGGCAAGACATAAAACCACTCGACACGCCAATCTTTTACAGAATTGACCAGGTCATAGTCAAAAAACTTAATTTTGAGACCCTGATGAAACTGAATCCCACAACCGCCAAGAACGCTGGTCTCTTCACGGCGGGGTTGAGGTTTCAGACGAAAAGAAAAAGCGAAAAAGAGACAGAGAAGGAGGGATTCCAAGGAAAGCTTCGCAAAGATGAACGAAAACAGAAAGATGGAGAATGGCATTGGGGGTTAGGTGGTTCAGACTAATCCCAAAATAACCAAGGAACTGATGAAGAAAAGCGGAAGCAGGAAGGCAAAGTCCGGCGCGGACAAAGGAAATAAAAAGGACAATCTCACCAGGACCCGGAGCTGGAACCCGATGTTCGCCCGGAACCCTCCATTTAGCGATGACTTTGCTTTGGATCAAGCCATCGCTAACGAGCTCGTCTTGGTGATCTTCGTTTTGTTGTTGGCCGGCCAAACCTTCTAAGCAGCCCTCATAGCCACAAATTCCTGATTTCGGATCAACGAGAGGGATGATTCCTCGTCTACGAAGGTCGCCTGAGACTTGCTTGCGGTTTTCTTCTTTCCCATGAACTGGTGGAAGCAAGAGAGGCGCTAAATAGGATGAAGGATGATGATGCTCGGGTTACGGCAGCGGCGGCGGCGTGATTTAAAGCTAGGGTTTAAAGGCAAGAGTTGGGCAAAAGCAAAGGGTCTTTAAATAGATTTTTCAAATACAAAAGCGGCCCACAAGGCCCGATAAAACACAATGTGGGAATGCGACGGTCCATTTACCGACGCAGTTAAAACAATGGAGGCACAAATCCATACAACAATTACAAACCAACAGGCAGATTTCAGACTTATCCGTCCGAAGAACACGGCAGGTTTATCAGATCGCTACAAGAACAACTCGCCAAAACAAGAAGAAAGAAGGAAGAAAGAAAAGGCTACCTCACAAAGGAACAAGAGAACCCGGTTATTTGAGAAAGAACCCGGTGATCTCATGGATAACGGGATCATAGCATGAAAAAGTAAGAGACAACTTTCGAAGACAAGATTAGTTACATTACAAGCGTAAGATTACAAACCTTAAAGACAAGATTCGTTTACATTACAAGCGACTTCAAAAATAGAAGATTACAAATCTTACAAGACCCAACGAACTCGGCACTAAGGAGAGCAAGGTAGCAAAGAGGAACACACACACGGCTAGGCTCTGGAACGACTACGTGTCCTAAATTGCTACTCGGAAGGACAAACCGCCATCACTCTGCTTGTTTTTTCAAAGGAAGGACGCAGATGCACTCAAAGCGGAAATCGGCAAGACGGCAGGAGACAACTTGGAGCGAGAGAAGGCGGCGGGCATCATCTACCCAAGACCGATGTGATCTCGCATATGGAGTTGATCTGCACCGGACAGGTCTCAAGGCAGTGACGAGATCAACCTGTAATCGCCAGATGAAGAAACGAAGCCGCATCACAAGACTTCCTCCAACTACCACCACATACATCTCCAGCACAATCTTTGTCATGGGATTAGCCTACCTCTAATCCCTATCACAAGACTTCCTCGAGCTACGACAAAACACACAGGAACTACAAAATATGCCCGGGGGCTGCTCCACTTCACAAACTACCATGCTCATATCCACGAAGGTTTCAACGGGACATTCAATAGATGAAAACAACCACTCTGGGACAGTATTTATAGACCAAAGGAGCGGAGCACATGGACCAGAGCACCGCCAAAATAAGCGACAAAGAACACAAAGAAAGGACGGGACTCAATAATGGACGACTCGGTGAGAGAGAAAAGCGATTACTCGGCGGGCATATTCTAAGAATATACCAAAGACAAAGACAACCCGTGAACAAAAGGCATTTACACTCAACCACCACCATACAACTATATCCTCGCAAAGAAAGCAAACTATCGGAGAATACGCCAAGACCTCGCATCCGGTTCTTCCTAACAAAACAACACGGATATACGTTCGGGGCTCGGCCAAAGCGTGACATGGCTTAATCAACACTAGGCTAGGGAGTTCGGCCTTCATTTCAATTACTCCCGGGCTCGAATCAAAGACAAAAGACAAAAAGTACAAGAAACTCAAGACTACTACGACGGCGACGCATCAGGACTTTTTAACCGACTTCTTTTTCAAAAGAGAAGAATTGGAGAAGGCACGAGGTCATGGGATACATAGCCCTTAATTTTTTGAAGACAGAATCTGGACCCTCCAACTTTTGCAAGCAAAAGCAAGAGGCTCGAGGGCTACACTCGGTGAGTGCAATTTTATGAAAAATTGCACCCACCAAAAAGAACTTCAGGACGTAGGCTCGGAGGTGCGAACCATGAAACTACTCGGATGATGGTTTAATCCAAGACTAAAGGACCGCCTCGGAAAGATACCACATAAACTACTCGGATGATGGTTTAATCCAAGACTAAAGGACCGCTTCGGGAAGATACCACAGAAACTACTCGGATGATGGTTTAATCCAGGACTAAAGGACCGCTTGGAAGATACCACAAAACTACTCGGATGAGGACAAAATTCAAATCTCGTGGATTACTTGAGCACAGATTTTCAAACAAACATAAGGACCAAGACCCTCCAACTTTTTGTTCCAAATAGCAAGAGGCTCGGGGCTACACTCGATGAGTGCACTTTTTCTCCAAAAAGCGCGCGCGTCACCAAAAAGACTTCCTCAACGCAGACTACTTCAAGACATTATGACAAAAAGAACCCGGAACAGAGCCATATTCGAGTTCTTTTGACAAAACTTCAACGAACAATTAGAGCAACTTCAAGACAAGATCCTCCAGCTCCTTGTTCCAAATAGCAAGAGGCTCGGGGCTACAACCCAGATGGATGTACTTTTCTTTCACAAAACACTCACCACTCGAAGGTTCCAAGAAGCGCTACAAGGTTTCACTCCGAGAAAGCACTTTCGGATAACATTTTGTTCCTACCCAACAAGACTTGAAGGAGCAAAGCGAGACTTTGAGCTCAACCATGAAGTGCTCGGGGGCTTGTCGATGCGGGACCCACAGGATACCCATAGAGAGAAGATCTAGTTCAACTAGGATTCTTCCCATGTAATCTTAGTAATAGAACTATTAAGTAATCCTACTAGGAAATCTCATTGTAAACCGATTAGGACTCTGGCCTCCTGACTATATAAAGGAGGGCAGGGCTCCTGAGGGACAGGAGGTACGACATAACACTTCATAATCAATCCAACGCAAAAGGCAAACGCCGACTGGACGTAGGGTCGTTACTCGATCTACGATCGAGGGCCTGAACCAGGATAAATCGACTGTCTCTTGCGTTCACCATCGAGTTCAGCATACGCCGAGACCCGAACTATACTGCCACGGTACCCCTGTGGCAGGCTATCGGTGGTAAAACATCGACAGTTGCTCACAAACTTCCATATCTCAACCCAGCTTTTAGGATTTATCACAAATCACACAAAATCCTCACAAAGTGAGTACGGAGAGTCAGAGAGGCATTTTCTTCAATTATGGGCATGGAGAGGTAGCAACAACTCCTAAAAAAGAGTTTGGTGGTGAAAGTATCTAAACCCCTAATTTAGGTCTTCATAACTAATGACAACGCTTGTGGGCTAATATTTTCATTGAGACGTGAAATTAAGGATTAGTCCACTAGGAGAGTTAAGCTACTTTGGATATCATGGCCCGTGTGATCAGAAAGCATGATGGATAGCTTAAGGGAAAGATACAAAGGTAAGTTTTTGCTTTAACCAGTCATGATGTGATTAGAGGATGAAAATGACTAGATTGACAGGCTACATAGCCATAATATCATGAGGGGTCAATGTTCTTTTACTTGACGGATCTTTAATGCCACATTGCTTGATGAATTGCACTGCATGCATAAAATGAGTGGCGTTTGAAAAAATATGGAAAGGAAAAAAATGAAAAATATATTTAAAAGGATAACTATATGAGAACTAAGGATCATGCAAGGCAAACATTCATATACCTTAGCCGTTTTTCAAAAATGGATTTTAGACTACATTTTAATGTATGTTGTGGACGATCCCACTTTGGGATGAATGGTCTACATGTATACCCTAAGAAAAAAAGGTCCGGGCCCAATCTGAGCCTAGTCCAAAATGATGGGTCTGACTTATGAGGCATAAAACCTAGGCCCAAATCCAGCCCTTTTTTTTGTAAGCCTGGCTCGGACTCACCAAGACATACAGAAGAAACAAAAACAAATGCACTAAGAAATTTAAACATTGTAAATCCAGCCTTGTAAAATGATGCGAACTAAGCATGTTGAAGTAAGGCCCACCTTTAGAGATACACTGCGTACTAGCTCATCATAAGAACCATTGAAGGCATAAAACTCATATTGTGGACTAGGCTGTAGCATCTCCAATAGCAGCTTTGAAGATATCAATGCTGTATCCAGTGACCTTTTGTCTCTCAGTGTTAGGATGAGTAATATTCACAAAAGCTTTGAAACCAGATTTATGTGGCACAGCAATCCTGAGTTTCTTCTCACAGCCTCTGGACGCCGTCCCTGAGTTTTTTCTCGCTAATTCTCTGCCATGTGTTCCCTCTGTATATGGATTAAGGAAAGGTTTGGATCATCTTAATGTAACAGCACAATTTTCTCATGGCCTATTGAGAAAAAGAAGAAAATGGCATGGCTTTAAAATAATTATGCCACTAATGACCAACATGTGACTATTATTTGGAATATTGATAATGTGGAACTATACTTAATACTACAATGGGCCATTGGACGGAAGACCATCTCACTAAAATTCGAAACTGTCCCAACCATTAATATTCAACATTGTCCCAACCAAGTCCTGGAGAATTGAACATGGAAAATCGAAACACACCCTATGCATTGTACAATTATTTTTCTTAGCCGTTCTATTATAAAGTTATAATGCATCGATTTGGCCCTATTTGCTTCGCTGAAAAGCCAGGCTAAAAAGTACTGTTCGCTAATTTGTTTTAAGAGAAAAGCATTATACCATGACAGGGCCGACTTCAAATTGCCATTTAAATTTCCAATACCCTGCTCAATCATGTGGGAAAATTAAGATAAACAGTTGATAGGCTTTCTCTCTGACATCCTCTTCGTAGAGCGGTAGAGAGATCCTGCCAGGCGCCGCCGTGCGACAAGATCGCCTTGAGGAGCGGCCGAGCGAACCATGGGCTCCAGGAACGAGAACGGGGAGTTCGGACTTGGGAGGAAAGGAGGGTGTGAACTGTCGACTAAACTAGATTGATTGCGTTATACTACTCCATCCGCCCATATAAAATTCTGTTTTTTCAGTAAAACAGTTTTTAATTTTTAATTAAATTTATTAAAAAAAGATATTAAGACTTATGATACCGAATAAATGTTACTATGAAATTCCAGGGAACTCCGCATACATATTTTATATATGTATTTCATATATATGAATAGAGACAATTTCGACAAAAGTTCGAATTTAGCAAGGGTCGAAATAGTAGGATAAAAATAAATTGATAAAACAGTCCTAGAAAAAAAAACTTCCTTTAAAATGTAAGATGGATATGAGCTCTTTGCTAAGATGAACTATAAATTCGCTAGAATCCGTTCATTTTTTCAATCAAAATACAACAACATTGATCGAAAAAATCAAAATACAACAACCATAAACATGGATCCAAGATACCCCACGTACGATAAGACACGAGGTGGATAGGATAGGCAAGTGAGTCTTTTTCGTGTGTGTTTACCGGCAGGTGCGCTTGCTTGGGTGACGACATCATCATCTCCGCTTGCACCAGCACCACCGATACGGTGCGGGTCCGTATGCACGCCGCCCACGACGCCGCCGGTTCCCGGCGGCACCGCCGCCCCAGCCAACACGTCCCGATGCGCGACTGCGAGCAGGATGAGCAGCAAAGCGACGGTGAGCCGGCAGCGCCGCGGCCACCACTCCATTCCTCCGCCCACGTACCTACGCAGCTGCTGTTGCAATGTATATATACCTGGCACAGTGGTGGACGACAGTTCCTTCCCTGTAAAATCCAAGAGTGCGGCGCACGCAACGAGTCAGAAGGCCCCATTTCGTCAAAGTTTCGCGAGGCGCTGACGAGTGACGAGAGGTCGTTCACCACTCATCAGTCGCTGGTGCCATCACTTTCAGGCCTCGACGAGGTCGATCGAGGAGGCATTCCATTCCACGGCGCACGGCGGCATCAGTGTCTGTCGATTCCACCTATACATGCATGACCCCGTCATGGATGCCGCGTTCGGATTGAACCACGACGATTTCGCATGAATTTCGAAGGGCTCGAATTTCGAGAGAATGAAGTAACGAAAGTTCTCCACGTGGGAAGGGTTCCATGCCCTCGATCAATTGACTTTGAAAGATTATTTCCCAGAACGCTTGGTCAGTGCCTCCATGCATGGTCACTGGTCAGTCAGTCAGTCTTCTGCTGAAGGTTTTCTTCAGTAACCAAATCTTTGAGCAGAGCCTGCATGAGATGAGACTTGTTGGAGGTAGCATGCGAGATGCAGGGAGATGTCTGCACTCTCTGTCTGCTCCCAGTGCACAAGTATACTCGCACAAGAGACTGAGATGTGAAGTGATGACAATTCCTTCACCTTCTGAATTCAGAGGCTCCGTGGCTTCAGATGATCGATTCAAGTTACCTACATCGGTCATTCTGTAGACCTAATTTTTCAGTCAGAGATATGCCAATACATTGACTACTTGTTCAAGGTGTGCAGGTCCACAGACTTGAATTCAGTCTGCTAAATGTTCGTTGCCACAAGTATATTTGAAACGGCTAGCAATTCGACTTCTAGAGACAGAAGACAAGTATATCTAGCTAGGAAACCAGGCACAAGTTCCACGAAATTTATAGCATGGCAAGGTCAAAAATAATGTTCATTAATTACATCAGGTAACTGTCTGATACAAGAATTCAGAGTTGTGTGATATCAAAATGCCCAGCAGTCCAGTAATAACATCAAGTAGTTCTAAAAAGATGTAGCACCTGGTTTTAAGGACAAAATCAGATACACACCGTATGTGTGCCCAGGAATTCAATTCACATATATAGTTACAAATGAAGGGGTAATATCAAGGACAGTATATACCATAACTCTATTCTTCTGGCGAAGCCTCCAACACCACAGGAATCGTCAACTGGTTGATCACAAGACTAACACCTCTTGGAAAACTCCACTGAAGAACCTTCATCTGGTACCCATCCGGGATTTTGCCAAAGTATTGAAAATAAACAAGCGTAAACTACTACCGCTTAGCAAGCATAACATGAGGGGATACAGGCTCAAAAGGCTTGACACGGCTGAACTGCGGTAAGCACTTTTAGTTGATCATATTTTATTATTAATCATAAGTTGCTAAGTTATGCTTAGGCTCCCAAATATAAATAGTTAGAGATATCAGTAATTTTAATCATAACCCAAACCATCCAAGTAACCAACTATTCAGTAAGGATCCAGGTCGCTCGTGTTCGTGAGCACGACTGATATACCAGTTTTACACTCTGCAGAGGTTGTACACTTTCACCACGAGTCGTGTTGCCCATATGCCCGAGTTAATTACTCCCAAAACACTTCCAAGGTGAGCAGACAGGGTACACTACGAAGCTTTTTTCCAGTCGTTCTAATAAGGAGCAGCCACTGAGGATTTCATCTCCCAAGTGTTATGGAGTCATCTCCAAAAGTAGCACTAATGCACGCAACATAGTACACACTTTGGGATGAGGCCCATACCCAGCCTGGTATGCCCCTCTTGCCCTTTCGGTGAACTGCTACAAACTAGAAAGAGCAACGTACTGGGCTAAGACCAGAGCCATGTGGTCCTCATGGTTGTATTGTAAGTCCTGGATTGTCGCTTAAAGATGAGTCTTTATGGAGAGAAACTAGAGCACCATAAGAAAAGACCCAATGCTCTAGCTCCCTTGGTTCCATGTTGCTAAAAAGCATCTTTTAGTCAAAGGGCGCCTAGCTCAAACGGTTAGGTGACCCAGCGGCACTCCTCAGGTCCTGGGTTCGATTCCCCGTGGGAGCGGATTTCAGGCTGAGGTTAAAAAAATCCCCTCGTCCGTCCCCATGTGCCAAAGCGCAGTGGAAGGCCCCGGCCCGGTCCTCACAGGGTGACGGCACCTCCTGTATCAGAATGGGGGCGGGGGTTCGGGGGTTTTCTCGATCTATGTGAGAAGATCCTTCTTCTTAACAGAAAACCCGGGGGCCGTCATAACCCCCCGCAGATCGAGTTTTTTTTAAAAAGCATCTTTTAATACCATGTTGCATATATCTTTAATTGTATTCTTTAATCAATATTAGTTGAATCAAGCTGAGCATACTACCCACATGCAAAACCCATAGGTAAATCAAGAACAGGACAGTCAATATCAAGGTAAATAGACTCCAAACGATTCATTAACATATGCATATGAATTAAGTTTGCATTAAAGTGAATAGGTAACAAGGAGCCTCATATTATACTTGTCTTAATTCAAAGTATCGCTGCTGGTCTTGATCTTCAAAGAGTTGCTCCAGATCACCAACACAAAACTCACTGTCTACTCGAGATCAAACAGCACCACACATGTATTCATCCATACATGCATAGCAAACAAATATAGGCTAATTAGAACAATACACCAAACGGTAGAAATAGAAGTTAAAAAGGTTTTAAAACTGTTCTACACAATGCTACGAACATGCAGACGCGATAATCACTCAAATCGGAGTTAAAACGGATAAGTTATGAATTAAACAAGATTTCCCTTAATAAAATAATAGATTAAATCTAACCTCAAATTTTTAAAGTTGAAAACATACTTAACAGTAGTATGAACATGTAAATTATGGAATTACGAACCTAACACAAGTTGAACGGATCAAATCGGAGCTAAAACGTGAAAGTTATGGCCTATAGAAACCAGTGGCAAAACTGTAAATAGATGGAAACGTATTCTAGATCTAAACCGAAGAAACTACACTTTCTAAAGAAGAAAACGTACTCCGAAAAGATGCTATGGACTGCGGGTTAAGTTATTCAAAATCCCAAGGGCTCTTTAGAAAAAAAAACAGGGACTGTGTGTTAAGACTCAAATAATTATAATGGTCTTTTTGTAAAAACGTCAGCAAAGGGGTATCTTTTATTTGGGATTCGAAATGTCAACGGGGAATTCCCCGTCGGGGGTTACTGCCCCATCCCCGTCCCCGCGGGGGCAAATTCCCCCCGTCCCCGTCCCCGTGAAGACTCATGGGGAGCACCTCTTCCCCATCCCCGTCCCCACTCGAGGATTTAATCCCTGCGGGGATCCCCATCCCCGCATCACCCTCTCCCCCTCCCCGCTCGCCCGCGCAGTCCCCTCCCACAGTCCCAAGCGGTCTCTCCCTCCGCCCACTCTCTCTCCCTCCCTCGGTGGCCCTCCCTCTCCCTCCAACCACGCCGGCGACCCTCCTCGCTCCCACCATGGCGGCGCCCCTCCTCCCTCTCCCTCCAACCACGGCGGCACGGCTCGACCACGGCGGCGAGTGCAGCCCGTCTCTCTCGACGGCGTGCGTGGGGGCGAGGATCAGCCCCCACCTCCTCCCCGGTGGCGGATCTGGCCCCGACCCCGTCCTCGGCGGCGAATCCGGCCCCCCGCCCCCCACCTCGTCCCCGGCGGTAGATCTGGCGCCCACCTCGTCCCCGACGGCGGATCTGGCCCCCACCTCGTCCCCCGCGGCGGATCCGGCCCCCACCTCGTCCCTAGCGGCGGATCCAGCTCCCACCTCGTCCCCGATGATGGATCCGGCCCCCTGCTCGTCCCCGGCGGCGGTTCCGGCATCCTCCTCCTCGGCGTAGGTGGATGTGGCAGCGAAGACCATAGCATGCCATAGTTCCGCCTCGGCTGCCACGCTCGCCTCTACCACGCTCGTCGAAGCCGCCTCTACGCCGGGTCTGCGGCGGCGCTGCTGTAGGTAGCAAGGGAGCGGCAAGCCGGCAAGCGACTGCTGCAGCTGGGAGCAGGAGCCGGGAGAAGATTGCGGCGGCTGCGGCTGGAGGTGAGCGTGCGAGCGACTGTGCGAGAGCCAGAGCGGCGTTTGCGTCTGCGGCTGGAGGACGGGATCACGGGCGGTCATCGGATGGGGAATTGGGGATCGAGGAATTAGGGTTGGACGACGCGTTATATAGCTCCGCGATTTACTGGGCCTTTACATGGGCTGCCTACTGTGTGCTTCGTAAATCTTTGCGGGGCGGGTTGACGGGGATCGGGGTCGGGGACCAGGCAACCATCCCCGTCCCCACCATCCCCGACGGGGACAACATTACTACCAAATCCTTCCCCGTGGGGATTAATTTCCCCCTATCCCCATCCCCTAATGGAAGAATTCCCCGTGGGGAATCAGGGATCGGGTCCCCGTTGACATCTTTATTTGGGATTGTCCGATCTAGATCAGACGGCTACGATCAAACGGAAGGGACAGAGAGAGAGCTGGCCGGCCGACGGCGAGGTCCACGGCGACGCCATGGCCGGAGGTAAGCGGTGCTCGGTGAACTCGGTCTATGGACCACCATTGAACGAAGCAAGAGCACGAGAAGCTAGAGGAGACGACGGCGAACTCGGCTAGATGGTTTACCTCGGTGCAGGGCAGACGGAGACGACGTGGCGCACGGCGAGGCGGACGGCAGTGGCAGCGGCTAGGGCTAGGCGGCGACTTGGCATCTCGACGAGGGTGGCTGCAGCGCTGGAGCTTGGGATGGAGGCGGTGGCACGGGGCTAGGTTTTTATGAGGCGGGGGCGGCTTGGGGCACAAGATATGGAGGGGAAAACGTGGCCACAGCGGAGTCGGACGGCGGCGGCGGCAGTCGTGCCCGAGGCGGACATGGCGCGGAGGAAGACGGTGCGCCTGACGCGTGGGACCCGACTGTCAGCGGGAGGAAGGAGAGAAGAGCGCGGGCGCGCCGC